ACACATATATATATATATATATATATATATATATATATACATATATATATAAATATATACCACATTAGTTCGATCTTAATTTTAATTATATTAAATATTTTAACATTCAACGTCCAAAATTATAAATAAAAGTTACCTTAGTCGTAAGTGGATCGCATTCATGATACCATGCGTAAATTACCAAGCCAGAATACCCGCATACCGTAAGCAAAATGAAAACCCCGATTACAAAACACCAGAGTGCTCTAAAAGTACAGTTGTCGAAAACAGATTATCTAATCTAAGTCATCACAGAAATTCTAATTCTAATTCATATATGATCTTACACTACTACGTGCTATATTAAACTAGTAATACATTAAAATTTAAATATCAATTATTTACACCGAAGTAAATGCACATTTTAATAAAAGAACTTATTTTATGAAGATACCTTCTAGCTGATTGTAAATTGGGAAGCGACAAGTATCGTTGAATCATATTTTGATTGACGGCGCAAATTTGTATCCAATGTACAAAACCGCCTACCATAAATGCCAAAAGAGAGTGTCTCACCAAAGGACTCCAATCCAGCCTGTTGAACAAAATAAACGTGTTTTATAATTTTATAACAGAAATACTTTTTATCTTCGTTCAATTTCGTGAAAAGACGTCTGCCTTATAAATTTTTACAAATAATTTATTTCCTACCTAAATCTTCATTTTGCCTTAAACAGCGGTTAATACTGTAGTAATGTACGCACGTGGGAAATTCGAGTCTTCCAGATTCCTGACTTCTCCGAATCACTACAGATAATCCGCCGACGTCGATTGTGCCTTTGATTACAATTAATAACATTGAGCCGAACATGATAAAGGTCTGAATGAAATCCGTCCATACTACCGCTTTGAGACCGCCCTAAATGTAAAAAAAATTCTTACAGAAAAATTATATTAAAACAGGAAGTTATAAATAATTTCTAAATATTATTACTAGACTTTCTAAATATCTAAACTTTCTAAATATTATTACTAGATTTGAATATTATTACTTAGCTCAATCTGACTGCGATACGTAATTCAATTAAAATTAGATATTCTTTTCCACAGAAAAAAATTTGACTTGATAATTAAAATGTCTGTACAAGAAAAATACAAGATAAATATGAGCCAAACGCAGATGTTTATCTGGTCTTTAATTTAGATATTATTTGCGTTCAACTTACATATATCTTGTATATTTAGACTAACTATCTTACCACACATGTGTAAAATATGCAAACAATGCACACAAAGGGAGTGATAATATGTATGTTGACTCCAGTGACTAAAAATAAAATTATTTAATATAAATTTCTGATATATATGCGTAAATAACATAGCGATTCCCCCATATTGCATTTACATAACATATCTTCAAGTAAATTTTAAAACATACGATTAATCAAGTTCGAATATTATGCAATATTTACGAGGATTGTCGAAATTAATTTCTGATAAAACAATCTTAAAATTTTGCTTGATTAAAAAATATACCTTGATTAAAAGCCAATGCAGGTACGTAAATGACAATTGGAAGCCAAGTCATCTAAAAAAATATATTTATTAATTTTGCATATATTGCTAGGAATGTATATTCATCACATAATTTATACATATTTTTCAAACTTTACTCACGATACCAATAGAAAAGAGAATTGAGCCTAGCAACCTCATTCTTTTATCGAAACGTTTCTCAAGGTACTCGTAAGTGCTGGTGAGTTTGAGCTCGTGGAAGACCGGCAGATATACGTTGGATATAATGAAACCAACGAAAATGAACACGAAGCAGATGAAGAGGTAGCTCGTGCCGTGTACATAAATCTCCGTCGGTGTGCCCAGCAACGAGATACCTAACATACAATGTGTGTGTTGCAAATTGTTTAACTAGTTATAAATTCAAGATCAGAATTATAATGCAATTGTTCAATATATAATGGTTACTTTAATTGAATGACATCAAATCTTTTTGGTATTACTATAATATTGCTTTGGTATTTTTCACGCAATTTTATAGTGTTATTAAATAAGTATCCGATATTACACAAAACATTTATCAAACTAATTAAATTAACTGGAATATAAAAAAATGTATGTGTATGAAAAATTTCCGATTTATGGATATTAATTCTTAAGTACTTTTATAAAACTTTAATTTCAGAATTTTTGATAAATTTTTTTTCGTTAAGTTTTATATTGCTGGTCAATTAATTGATAAACTGTATAAACTGCAGCTTTACCTTATTTCCAGAAATACACATATGTTTACATTGTACACATCACGCGTTACATGCTACACTCATGCAAACAGTTTCTCTATCACACATTTCAAACATTTACAAATGACAGGATATACATTTATAATTTACTACTTAATCTGCTTATCTAATCAAATGATTTGCTATTATCGCTAAAAATAAAACAGTAACATCGTAATAGAAAGTCAAGTGAAAATTTTCCATAGACGTACGTAACAACAAATGAGTAAATATAAAATAAATTTTTGACGTCAATTTAAAATATCTTTTAAGCAATTCAGACTTTAAGAAAAGCACTATAAAATGAGTATGGATTTATATTAATAAACACAATAATGTTTAACAAATAAAAATAAAAATCAATTTTATTAGAAATATACTAAGCTAGTATAATGCAATCGAATATAAAACTATTCTATTTTTACAATTTATTTTTATTTTTATGATTTACTTATAAGCGTATGGAAATTTGCATAGGAAAAAGTAAACTGAATGCAAAACATAATTCTACCTGATATAAAGCTGGCTATCAAACTGAGACTGATTGGAAATGTCTTCATATTCCTTCCACCAACCAAGTACTCGTCTTCACCTGAGGACTTTTTTATGAATCCGAAATAAATGCCAACGGCACCGCATGCGATTAGCATTGCAGTAAACACAGTGTAATCCGATATTCCGAAACTCTGCATCGATTTGCTGATTTCTTGGACGGTAGGAATTTCCGACGCCCATTTCGTTAGGCCTAAATCGCTTGAGGTACCTTCCGAAGTCATCTTGTTGCAAAGTTTCGTCACTCTAACAGAGTATGTAAGAACAGTACGTTTTTTGTCTGATAATGATCCTATTAACGGTGCGGAAATATTAATAAATGGTCACGCTGTCGTCTATCATAAAGAATATACGGAATCACGAAAGGATCTATGTCAGTGAATTGTTCCTCCCAACTTGCAATTCGCTATGATATATGGATTGTTATTGCGCACGATTACCTAAATAATAAAATTCATTAATAATTACATTATTTATATTTACAATAATTCACATTATTTATTAAGATTTCTCGCACCAAATTTTTTATAAGCTACAAAAATATCACAAATCATGAAAATCTCAATCGAAACTGTATCATATATGAAACATATTTGCAAAGAAAAAATAAAAAATCTGTCATGAAGACTACAATTTCTTACTTACATTTATGTCGCAATATTTGAATCTGATGAATAACTGTAAACTTTTGATCCGGTTATTCTGTCATCCATCTAAATCACTTTGGCGCGTTGAAGATTAAACCGTAATGGCTGATTCAAACTAGATTGCTGTTATACAAACTACGACTGCTACTGTGAAATATCAATTAGAAAATATATTCCAATATCGATAAAATGCTGATAAAAATACTTATCAGTTTAAGTACACGCTAAGCGGATTTAATCTTGATAGATAATGCATTAGGATGAATTGTTTTCTCGGATCAGTTAGGCACTATTAATAAAAGTTGATCGTGATATGTCATGTGCAAAAACGATGAATCTATCGCGGAAGCCAAGAAACGACTACCTTGATAGATCACGCAGATCACGACGGAGACTGAAGAGCTCTGAGTGTCGCGCCATGTGCGATTACGCGCATCACGATAGTGTCATTGTGACAATCTTTTAATTAAGCTGACAATGGGAGTGAAATATAGAGTGCGAAACAACCAACCAACCGACCGACCGACCAAACGAACGACCGACCGACCGACCGACCGGCAGGCAAGAGAATCGCAAGTAGATAATATCCTTTAATTAACCGACCTAAATTTAGTAGTAGTAGTACAAATATGTTTGACTAAACTAAGGGCTGCAATTCTAGCAGCAGTCTTCTTACACGAAATTTTAATAAACTAAGCAAGTTTTATTTTAAACGCCTAGAAAAATGTCTTGTAAAGTAAATATATTATAGTAGTAATATCAATGGAATCGATGTTTTTATCCCTTTATTCTTTATGCTTAGATTAACGCAATTTAACAAATCAGTTTTACTTTATTCTTTATCTTTTATACATTGCCAGAACTGAAATACTTTTCGTATTTTCAGAGTGTATACACATTAAGGAATATAAAAAAAGAATAGTAAATCAAAATTTTACCTGCAATTTTAATTAGCAAATGCGATGTGTATCTTTCTATAAATATATCTTTTATATTAAACTTATCGCAAAACAGAGATTTAATAATCTTCAACCTTCGTAAAAGCGCGGCAATTCGTTGCCCAATATGACTTTCCTTTCGATTCCTTTTTCCGTAATCACACCAGTTCGTATGACGCCACCGCTGCTACCATCGCGAGCCATGGCTAATGCGAGTGCTGAAAGAAACATTGAAACATTGAAATGTCGAAGTTATTACTTTATAAAGAATTAAATTTTTCCATGCAATTTTTTTTCAAGCGCTTACTGTTCTCCACTAGCTTGAGACATTCGTCTTTTGCCATGTTAGGCTTGTACTGTGCATCAACGTAGCCATACACGTATGTCGAGCCAGAACCACCAATCGAGATCGGTTGTCTAACGCACATACCACCTATGGGAATGCTATAGACCTGACCACCTTTCTGCTTATCCCATCCTGCTACCAAAATTCCAGCCATTAAGGAGTCTCGGTAGTTGTAGCATATTTCACGGAACACATTAGCAGCAGTTTCTACCAAAGGCTGGGCTCCAAGTTCCATCCTAAAAAAATTATACAATTCATTGTTGATAAAGTACCATTAATTAACAGGCATTTTGTTATAATCTTACTGATGCAATCCTAAATGGTAAGCTACAATATCGGAAATCGCCTGAGTATCTGCCGCTGAGCCAGAACGACAGCAGTAAATATAATCCGTCACTCTCGTTAATTTATCAGCAAAACGATTGGAAACGTAAGCTCTAAAAAAATATATGGATTAGCAAGTGTGATCGTAATAAATATCATTTTATTCGAGTTATATTTTACCCTGTTGTTCCTCGAGAATCAGCACCTATCACTACGCCACCATCAAATTCACATGCCATGATTGATGTCTGCAAACAAATTGCAATATAGTTTCAAATATTGAACCATTTAACAAAAAAAAAGCTGAATTTTCAAGATATAAATCAAGATAAGAAACATGTGATAAATCTGTTCTCCTACATAGCAATCTTCAGATAAAATCTCAAATGATGGAAATGTATGCAAATATAACAATAAATGGTATTAATAACACTGAATCATAAGAGCTGTTCACTCTGATTATACACTTTATCAATTTTTAAGCAGTCTTTACTTTTTACACATGACTGTACACATGACAAATATTCTTTCATTATTTCCAATATTTCTCATATTTCTATATAGATCTGTGTATAATATAAAAAAAGTAAAACTTAAATATTATTATAATACATTATAATACAACCTGAATATATGTATAAAATAGTGGATTTATAATGGCTTTATCTTTACCACTAACGGATCCTGATGTCGATAATGGGGGGGGGGGGGATTTTGACCTGCTTTAATGCATTTTTTACCAAGATTCTTGAAACAGATCCAGCAAATTGATTTTTTTTAACTT